CCCGTGGCCCCGCTGTTAGCTAAGAATCTCTGTCCCCGTATCTGGAAACACGGCTCACTGCTTGTCTAACTGTGTTTTGCTTTTCGTTTTCTAGGGAGCTACTAATAATTTTTTTTTGTGTTTTTCAGACAAAGACGATCGTAGTTTAGTTTCAGTATCCAACCCTAAGAAGCCACCCCATATCCATGCCGTCAGTTAAACCCCAGCCAGCAATTGCCTTCATGCTAATTGTGATGCTTCATTTTCTAGGAACAACTCACCATATTTTTTGTCGTTTCAGCTACAGAGTTAGTGGGTTGTGGGTTGTTGGATGTTGTGTCGTCGGTTGTGTGTTTTGTGTTGTGTTGTGTTGTGTTGTACTGTCTTGTCCTCTACGTTTCGTATTGTCTGCCAGTCGGTTTGGGAGAAGCCCTGTAGCTCTCTCTTTTTCCTGGCCACACAAAGAACACATTTTGCGGATACTCCTTTTTAGGAGTTCATGGGTTCGAATCCCATGAATGTGTCAATTTTGCGCTGATATCTAATGTGGTCCGTCTCAAATACAAAAGCACAACATCCAACGGACAATCTGCATCCTTTCATCACACCAACTACAAGTGTTGTCCTCATACAACAGAATGGAACTTCCAACGGAGCAAAGAGTAACCAATACCCAAGATGAAGTTCTTGTACCTTCTCAAACAGGACAGAATGCGGCACTTGTTAATGAAGTATTCTCGATGTTTAAGGGATCCTCTCAGTTAGACGTCCGATCAGAGGATATTTCAAAGTGGTAAGCTCATTTAAACTTGTGATTACTCTGCGAATACTTCACCCATTTTAATAAATATGAGACCACTAAACTCATTGCTGTCCGGTCGTAAACGGCGCACACAGATAATTTCGGTTTTATCTGGAAGTGTTTTATCAATTCAACTAGAAATTGTATTATCTTAAAGAAAAAACATTTACCTATTTGTATAACTTTAGTTCATTTCAAAAGCTTTCCTATAAGCCAAGATATTTATTGCAGAACTTGTACTTTTTAAATTGAATGTTAGAGAAGCAAAAATACGCAAAGCCTTCCAAAAATCTCGCCTAAAAACCTCCAAATATTTGTAGCTTACATTGGGATCAATATTTTCATATATTTTACTCGAAATACAGTTGCTTTGGCGATTTGTAGTGATATTTCCAACAAATGTGTTTACAAACGGAAACCCGAAAATGTGCATATAATTATCACCATATTAGCGAAAATTTGACAATTATGACCTCTAGGGACAATTTTACCCAGAAATCGATTTCTGGGCTTATTTTACCCCCACGGGGTAGGCAACATTACGTTTTTGACACCTCTAACCTCACGCGACAACCACTTGTGCATGCGGCTGAGCAACGCCTCGCTATACACAATAACAAATAAAAAAATCTATATTTTTCGAGTTTTTCTGCCCATCCTGACTTAAATCCTATCAGAAAAGATAACTAATGCCTTTACAGTTTATATGTAACGGTTAAAAGACGACAGGATAAAAAATAACGAAGAAAATAACGAAATTCCAAAGGCGAGTTATATTTCCATTTTGTAATCCTAATTTGATATGATTTTTAGAGCTGCACTGCAGTGTCAGGTTAACAGCAATATTGATTAATTTCTTGATTAGAAATTTTCGAGCTATATTTTGGTGGTATTTTTGTGCTTTTTAAATTAAACGGATTAATTTCAACATTAAAAAACCAAGATGATTTCATGATATCTGGTGATGGAAGCATGACAGCATGGGTCATAGCGCTAAGTATTATGCGTACACAATATTTCACTGGTGTTATAAAAAATAGATTTTTTTTCTCCCTTTCCTATTATGTAATTGCATTTACCAATATATATGTAACTGTCAGGGGTTGGGGGTATTATGTGAATATGAAAGAAAACAACCTGCATTTTGTTCTGTATATTCTTGTGTTATAGAAGTCAAAAATACATGCTGTTACTATACTGTATAGGCCCTTGTGATTCATATACAATTATAGTTTCAATTGTGTGATAGTTATGTTCTTGTAATCTCAATTGTAGATTCTATGGCATATAGAGTCGAATTGGTACGGCAAAATATCTTTGAGAATTGAAGTTTATGGCGGTTCTTCAGGTATGTTCTGGCAATTCACTGAAATACTATTTGTTCGCTAAGGAATGTTGTCCCATGGTAGCGGTACGCATGAACCTGGGATATCACAATGCTGATAGCCTCACAACCCTGGACAATAATATAATAATTTACTTGTTCCTTGTGTTTCAATTTTAGATCAAATAAAGTATGGCAACCCAGGAGTTGCTAACAATTATTACCTTTCTCTTATCACTGACTACACCTCCATCCATCGCTGTGCCATACATGGATTTGATGGACTGACATACCAAGCAAGGTAAATATTGCAGGCTACATGGTATATGTTCAGTTTATTATTATGTCATATTAGGACTGTTGGACATTATTTTTTATTCAGTAATTCCCCTATATGGGAATGTGATAAAATTCGATGTTAACCCCCAAGTAAAGATTTCACAAAATCAATGGAAATAACGCTGTACCTCGACTGGTTTCAATTCTGGAGGAGCCGTGTATGGCAAAATTATATGCATTATCATTTCATTTTTGTTGATGATTGTTCGATGGTGTTTTGGTGCCAGAAGATAATTGATACTAATTATTGGCCCACGTACTGAAGACACATAACATCCCAGATAATAGCAACAAGTGTTGGGAATGCGGATAAGTCGACAGGACATGGTCGCTTAAATGAGGCAGCTTCCTGGTCTGCACGGAAAAATAACCAGGACCAAATGCATTCGGCAAGAAAGATGTTTGTCGGAGCGATTTCACTCAAAGTCGTCGTGATTATAATTAGTGGGTGAAGACCTATTCTGTGTCCTGTAGTTCCGACGGGCAAAAATTCGATCATTACAAAATAAATGGACTAGTCAGGGTTAGCTGGATTAATAAGCAAGGCTTCTACAGATTACCCTGTCACGTTATATGCATCACATCATTTCCATGCGGTCATATATAACTTTTAATGTGTGATTAAGATTAATTGTTTAACAAATTATTCATTTCATTAGAGACTCGCTGGTGGAAAATGTCCTATCACCAACTGTAACCGCGCTTTACATCCGCATTCATCCAAAGACATGGTACGCAACATATCTTTGAGAATTGAAGTTTATAGCTGTTTTTCAGGTATGTTCTAGCAATTCACTGAAATACTATTTGTTCACTAAGGAATGAGAAATGACTGAGAGATCCATCTGACTGAAATATATAGCGAAAATTTTTCAATAAGTGGCTTATGTAAGAGCGAGTTTTTGATTTAGAAATAAATTCTTTACACCCTACCAGCGGGTTTGTCAGGTTTTTTACTAACTTAGGTGCATTGGAATACAAGTAAAAATAAGGCGTGTTTTAGAAGTTATACCTGGACGAGGAATCCAGCATATCATTATGAGGAACAAAGCTATTATAGCGGTATATACTCAGGGCTATCACAATCAAGTTTAGTGTTATCGCTTTATTTCAATGTTTGCTGCACGGTCGGATTCTCACAATTAAAAGAAAATCAAGCGAAAAGTTTCACACGTACAAAAGTATAGGTATGGAACTGGGGCCGGTTGTTCGAAAGATGGATAACTTATCCAACGGATAAGTCCTATCCAACGGATAAATCTGGATAGTTATCCATTGGATAAAAACGCGTTGCAGGAAGCGTGGATAGTGAAGTGGATAGCTACCCAATAGATAAGTTAAAATTTACCAGAAGAAAACAGATTATTCTGAAATTTCGTACCACAACGTCAGCTGTTGCTAAGCATTTACAACATTGAATTCATAATCATTACGAATTCTCGAGTATAGTTACTGAATGGAAAAGGCTTGAACAAGTGATTTGCTCGAACTTTGCACTTCACATCATAGTGATTTTATTAATTAAACACATTGCAATTTTATTCCTTGACCTTGCAACGCTTTGCCTTTCGGTCCATAGCAAATTTAGAAACACTATTTTAATGTTCGTGAATGAAATTACTTAGATATTAGCAAGTTTCCTTGGAATAGGTTGAATCTTTCTTTGCATATTCGCGTTTATAAACTGATTAGAAGCGTATAGTAAATTTACCACCTGTTATAAATGCGAGGATGTCCAAAAAATCGCCGGTCGAACGGAATGTGTAGGCAACGTGAAACGCTGCTGCGACAAATTGCACTTCGAAAACATTTTTAATATATAGTGAATACAATCATGATGTGTATTAGTTTGTTGAAACACAGTAAGAGGAATATTGCATTTTTGTCCTATTTTATATAAATGTTTACAGTGTTACCTTGTATCTTTGAATTTATCCACTGGATAGTGGATTTAAACCACCTCCGGACCTTGGATAAATTTATCCGGTAGATAGCGATTTTTATCCTCTGGTTAAAGTTATACAAGCTTCGTGCAACCCAAATCACACGCTGGATAAAACTTATCCGTTGGATAGTGAGTTATCCGTTGGATAGCGACTTATCCACCTTTCGAACAACCGGCCCCTGTTCTTTTATTTATCGGAATAACTAGTGATGTGATCTTACATGAAGCATTTTCAGTCATGCTGCTAAACTGTCGTGCTGGCTTCGCCACTGAGTATTTTATTTGCTCGCAGAGCCTCGTCTGCGAACGTGACCGTCGGCCAGTCTTCACCATGTACGGTGACAGTTATTTTCTGCCTTTTAACTTGCCGACATGCAATGTTTCATTGCACGGTGAGTTTTCAACTTTACTGAAGGCGCTACTATACAATATGCAATTTTCCTTACAACTTGCAATGCAATTATAATTCCGAAGGATGTTAATTTGTAAAGAGTGTTCGAAATACTAAGGAAACGTTAGCAGATCGTAATAGATGTTCGTATTTGACAACTTTAGATGCCTCAGGAGTAGAATGGTTTTGCAATTTGCAAGGAAAGTTGCGTAGTGTAACAGCGCCTTGAGATTGTTTCGGAAAGCTGGTTAAATTTCGATGTAACTTGCAAACATGTAATGTTTCATTGCAATTGCGAGTTGAAAATAAGGGTCATTGGACGGAAGAACGGGACAAGTATCGTAGTTTTCAACATACCTTTTATAAGGGCGGAGACATTGATCTTCCATCCACGGTCGGTTTTATCATTTTTTCTGCTTTTTCTATCATTTCTTTATCCTACAAAAGACAAAAAAAACTTGTTAAATCGTGGATCAATCTAACACTTTTAAAAGCTTTCTCTCCTAACTGAACTAATTTTATTTATACCGTATAGTTCTATCAGTTCTAAATTGTCCTTCATGGAGGTCCAGTAGGGGTCATCCCGTATTGATGCAGTGTTACTACAGGAGGAAACCTGAACTAAACTGACTTTATTTATGCTGGATAGCTGTATCAGTTCTAAACTTCAACCAAACTAATTCTAACAATTCGAAAAAGCTGGGACTTCAGACGAAAAAGGTCAGCCGATTTTGAAAAATCTTAGATGCGGGGTGTTATAAGGCGGTTAGTAATTTCATCATCACCTTCATCCAAGGATGTTCCAGAGCTTCTGAAACCGTGATGCATTTTCTGTGACCAACAGTAAGCAGTTTTGTTATAAGATCCTTAGCTTCACTGCTAACATTCTTCCAGAGGTTGTTCGGAAATTTATACGACCCTTCTTTGACTTGTTTCTCCAATGGGTTATTTGCCTGCTTTGAAAATAAAGAAGATCCGGAAAGTCTAAAAGACGTTAACTTTTCATTGACGTACTCCAATTTTGAAATGAGGTTAAGCTACCTCCAGCTTTATTACAAATCGTGTTCACTACGTGAATTTGAGTAAACTGAAGTATATGGCATACCAAACATATAGTATAACTCCCAGGCTCCAGCAGTCACACGATTTCTCGTAGGATCGTTCTTCAGGCTACGGGATTAACATTTGGGTAGCGAGGTAACTTGGTGTACCACAGAGTGTTTCCATATAGGAATTCTGATCGAAAAAATTAATTGTTATCATTGAGATCTGTAACAATGAGAAATAACTGAACCTAAAACGTTTGCAGAATGCGCTCTGCTTTCATAAAACGAAATCACGGACAAAACTCGGAATTGAGATTATAGTGACTTCCAGGATTTGCTGGCAATGGTCACATCGAATGGTTTCTTCAAAGACAATTTAAAGGGCAATTTAAACACAAGTTCAATGCACAACCGACACAAACCTTTATAAGCGTTTCGTCATACGAGGAACACAATAAAACATTTTCTGGCTAGAGAAGAAAAAGTTAAATTATGGTCGTTAAAGTTTAGGATATAAAGACAGTAGTGATAAATAAATTAGGGCGTGCTTACCTTCCAATCCCTGTTAGTGATGCCATTTTCATGTAAATGCTAAAAATACGAAACAGTATGAATAAAGTTAGTTTAGTTCAGGCTCCTGCAGTAACACTGGATCAATAACAGATGATCCTTAGCTTGGTGTCATTAAAAGCTCCAATCTCTTCGTGATATTTTCCATAAACTTTAGTCATCGCCTGTGAATGAAATATTCCAATTTGTTTAATTCATTCTTCGAAGGCTACACATGGCTACATTCGCGCTAAACGACATCCTCACCTGAAGGCACATTGCTTTCATAGTTGGTTTAGTTGTCAATAGGAATCAGTGATACAGATCGTTAGACAACTCGAGCCTGAAAACAAAATAGAAAAGTCGATCGAATCTTGAATGGTTTCATCCATGATTCTATACTTCTCTACTACATTCTGCAGGACAAATAACATTGCGTGAACTGTGCAGCAATATAGAGAATAGGGGGAAGCCAGACAGAAAAGCACATGGAAAGTAGTTTGAATATTTGCAAACCCTGATAGATAAATGTCGTGGACTCACACATTTGTTATCGGCGTCTCCTCGTCGTTTTGTTCCAACAAGACTCTCAAATAATAGTCACCTGATAGCAGAGATACGTTACTGAGTTTGATTCCTATCGAGGAATAAGGGGGGACGTTATGAAGAACTGTTAAAAAGCTAGAGCAGTTAGGCTTATCACTAACCTATTTCAGTTCATCAGCTAAACATTCATACAGGACTTCAAACTAAAGGTGATTAAAAGACAACGTAGTTTCCACTCAGATCTTTTTCCATTGCAAATGCGTGCAAATCAGATTCGAGTGCCCCAGAAGTTCCTCTCGCGTGTGTCACATTGAAAACATAAGAAATTGTTTCATACTCTTTTACGAGAACAGTTTAGAGAAAGAGGTCAGGACTATTGAATTTGTCTTGTTATACTCATAGCGACAGGAAATCCTCCATTACATTTCCATTTCCTATATTTTCAACGGAAACTAACCTTAACTTCGAGACTCACCTTGTAATTCCAAATCAGGTTGTACGCTGTCAGATCTTGACTGAATCTGTAAAAAAGATCCGCTTAAATATCATTGCTTTTTCATCTTTCAAACGACTAGAACATTTTCCCATTTTCTTAATATGAACACTTACTTTTAATAAAAAAACTGGATTTAAATTCTCACATCTTTCCTGGATTTGAATCCTATTTTTGTCCTCCAATGCGAGAGATATCCTTCAAGTTGATTCCTCAACGTTCCCCTCGTTTTTCCAGAGCTCTAAGACACAAGTATAGCACGTGAAATAACAGGCTTATACGTACATGCAAGCATGCATTATGAAATTTTGGAACACGATTGTTGATTTAAAACGTACTTCTGCAAGCTTTACATTGTCACGAATTGATAAACGATCTTCTTCAGTCTCTGGTGGCTGAAGGAAAGATAAAAACTTTCCAACAAAATTTCAACAAAATTTTCTTTACAAAAAGGTTTTACACTTCTGAATGAATTACCATTTAATTATTTCGTCAGTGGGGCAGTTGGCACAGTTTAAGGATGAATGATGGAGTTTAGTTACCAAAGCAGTTGATACCACTTAGTCATGAATACGATTGGTTAGTCAGAATCACCTCAATCACCAAAAATTATGAACAGGAAATCTCGCATTTAAACTTTCTTGTATATTTTAGACATTAAAAACTATAACTACTTTAATACGAACATTATTCTCGTAAGTAATGCCATTGCTGTTGGATGATGCTATGCCAACAATAATGATTATAAATTACTTATGGAGTATGCTTGTTAGTCTCAATTGAACTATTTACACATGGCTAGTATATAGAGGATTATAAAATCACAAGTTTTAAGATGAATCTGAGAATGTTGCTAAAATACAACTCAGGTCCTGCGGATGCAATAGAGGCTATACCTCTGCAACAATTTGTTAATTTATCACACTAATTCGCACCTGTTCAATAGCGAACGTCTATCAGTGCTTTGCGTAAACATGGCCATGCGTAAGCGTTTTGGTAGAGCGCCCTCGGCAAGCGCCAGAACTTGTATTTTTGCCGCGGTTTCTTCATCAGCTTCCTAAAGTGAAGTTCAAACTAAATATCAACAGATGATTTTAGGCACTTCACACGATGCAGGAATATTCTTGAGGTTTTAAAGGGTCTTAATTTCGAGTGGTATTATACGCACTTCAAATTCAAGCAGGGAACAGTTGATGGAAAAATGAGTCAACTGTACGTCCTCAGTGACAAGAGCATTTCACCGGCATCAAAAAGCGTAGGTTCGATTCCTGCTGGAGGATCTATAGTTCACTCATTTTTCCGTCATCTGTTCCTGGCTTGATTTGAAGTGTGTATAATACCTCTCAAAATTAAGACCCTTTAAAACCTCTTAAATATCAACTGAACTAATATGTACATTCATCACGGCTAAAAAATGCAGAGCGTTATAAATGACGTTCGTCAAAGGCAGAAAATTCTCAATGGATGAATGAAGGAATAAAACGTACCTCGATTATCGCCTTCAGAACCATGCCAGCACCTTTCACAATTGTTGTCGACGGATGCTGAAATTGTTGAGGAACGAATTCAAAACCACGATTGGTAAGAACCATTAGCGGGGCAATAGTAAAACATACATAAGTGAAGAAATGGTAAAATTGGGGCTATTATTTAGTTTTGTCGTAAACCTACCTGGAACAATCGATAAATGCAATGACCCATTTCTAGACAAACAAATAACAGACTTCATGAGTTGCTCCTATGCTTGGGTCAAGCTAGTGGACGTGGTAAACTTCACCAAAAAGGTAAAGAGAGAAAGGCTATTTAATCAACTCTCAACCTCAGTCAAAGAGCCATAAACTACCAAGAAGACAAGTTGAATGAAAAGCTCCTCAAATTTCTTTGTAGCATACCTGCAACTTTTTCCAGTAATTTCCCAAACTGTTCATCATCTGTTGTCTCACTAAGAGGAATATGCAATAGTCGATTTATTGTAACAGACTACATGAGTTGATTCAAAATATTGGAAGCAATCACACCTTACTATTAGTTTAACATGAATGTCCAACTTCACCCCCGTATTATTTTAATATATTGCAAAGCAACTAGAACAAACCTGTAAGGAGGACACAGAGCAAACGTCAGAAAATCAAGCAATCCACTTATAACTAAAACCCCAGTAGAACGAATATAGAAGAAAAGTTTTCATGGTTAATCTATTTCTTGTGTTTAGTTAGAAAGGAGGTTCAAATAAGAAAGGCAGTTGCTACGAATCACTTGCTGGGTTTTGCAAGGGAATTTCTCTTCCAAAACAAAGCTATATACATACAAGAGGGATGGAAAAATAAAATGCAAGGGTTCAGCATAGATTATAGGCAACCAACACCGCACATCTTACCACATTTATCGTGAGAATTTCCAACAAACTGCTTAGAAATTTTTCAGAGGATAACAAAGAGCTTTTGTTTATCTGTTCTTGTCGAATGTCATAGTTATCGTGCGTTGGCTATATAAAAAAACAGAATTGGTTTCGATAAAATTGGATCCTGTTAACATTCAGATTTCGAAGTTGGCTGAGTTTATGTGGATTGCAAGTTAAAGGGGTAACACTAATGACAGTGACAGATTTGGCAACATATTACCAGGAAATTCATCGTTAAAGTGTTGGCGCTTTCCTTTATACGGAAAAAAACGGCCAGACCGGTCCTATTGTTGATCTCGGTACAGACAGATTACTGGTATTTTAGAGTGTTTCAAGAACTCTGCGTTCAAGTATATCGTTACTTGCATCTGTCTAGCTCGGAAATTTCGCAACTATATTCTTAACGAAATACTCTATTTTAAATTTAAATATGACCGGTCTGACCATTTTGGCCGCTTAAAGGAAAGCCCTCTCTTTACCTGCATCAGAGCACACAGCATGTCGACAGCGGCGTGAGTCACGGCTTCATTATTCCTCTTCAAAGCTTTCACAGTTTTCACACCAACCTTCTCATAGAAGCTGTAAAAACAAAACAGAAACACGGTGTAGAGAAAGTGAGCTGGTTGAGTAAACAGCGTGTGTTATGGTTAAAGATAAACGTTTCTCACCTAGTGAGCGTTGTGAAACCTGCTTTGGATCCAACCTAATGTCTCAAAGCGTGAAACAGTGCTTCGAGATCTTTATCTGATATTTTGTTTTGGTCTCCTGCAAATAGACGAGACATTTTAACTATTTTATGTATATATTGAACACCTGTGAAGGTAATAGCAGTCAGAATATGTATATTTTAGGGTTGAACACTAAATATATTTATTGGCAAAGATATACCTTCGTGAGCAATGAGCATTGTGATGGCATTAATGATAAGTCTTTCTTTATTCTCCAGGAAAAGTCCTTACAAAATATTTAAAATCGTTTGAAATATATATTGGATTTTAAAAGACTTAATATTCCAGCCGTACTTCTGGCGAGAAAATTTCAAATCTACCATTTCATGGATTCGGACCCAGTCAACTCAGCAACCAGAGTTACCGCAGCGTAGTCCCTAGGCCTCTTAACGTTCCTTATATGCGGCGAGGCGGGAACTGAGAGGCCTAGAACAAAATGTTTTGTATTTTGGATAAAGTGGGGACTTTCTGTATTGAGGTCAGTTTACGATCCACGACGCGGTTAACTGGCCTTGTTCGACGACGCTAGTCAAATATTTGCTTGAAATAACCTACGGGATATTAATTATACTGTCAGGACTTCGAAATATTCATACAAACGTTTCAATGTCATTTGCTGTCGACGCTATCGGCTATCAAGTAAACTCGAGTCCGTACGTACATGGTTATGATTATAATAAGCTTCAATCTGCCAATTTAAATTATTCTCGCTTCCTTTATAACGATTATTGTTGTAAATCTAGGTCAACTAATGCATACTAAAATATGCAGAAAACTAACGTGCGTATGAAAAACACGTGAGTGGAAAACAGCCTTAATCCAGATTTTGACAGAACATTAAAACTCAGTAAAAATGCAATATTCTCTACACAGGATTTTGTCTGCAGAAAAGTACAAAATAAGAAATTGTCAACTTACGTCTTGGGTGACTGCATGAAGTAGACCGCTGTAGGAAATATTGCAGTTAAATCTCTACACATCTTCGGTTAAATTTCCTGCAAGGAACCAGTAATAAGACAATATCAGCTTTTGGAGATATTTCAAAAATTTAAAGTGAAATAAAAAGAGAAATATTTTACCTGGAGACGCAGCGAGGAATTTTAAATGACTGCTTTCTACTTCTTCGTCCACAACGTTATACAATGGACCCCAACGATAACCTTGAAAAATATATCATCTTAAAAAAACAATTCTTCTTTTGCTGTATGTGATGTATTGGACTGAATAATAGGAATACCTGACGAGAAGTGTAATTGTTTGTGTGTTATATAAGATCCCATACGTCAGGAGGAGAATGAAATGAGGGTTCGTATTTACGGCAATCTAGCAGTGTGAGATTTTCATCAGGAAAATTTTGACCATAATTTTCGCTCAATCATCTATAAAAAAGCATACAGTACCGTCTCTTCGTTGGGGTCGTTTTTACACAAACATCTCCATTTCCACTGCCTCTAACCCCGTGTAGCTAACCAGCCAATAATATGTCCCTAGATTGAGTGAAATACAAACATTCAGAACAAGAAATATTTTATATAGCTTCATACAAAATCTGCTTTTTTAAACTACCTGTCGGGAGACGAGTAATTTCTCAGCTGACCGCTTGTGTATTCCAGCCCGAACAACTGAGGATGGTCTCGATAGCTAATTATTGAAAATATCTGACAGAAAAAGAAGTTTTAAAACTATGATATACTATAATACACAAGTCTTAACCAAACGGTATATTCTGGAAAGTAACTGCAAAAATAAAACTATTTTAAGTCGGCTGGATACTTTTTTGCAATTGGACATGTTCAAAATGGAAACGTGAAATAAAAAAGATGATAAAAGCAGTAAACTTGAATCCAGGTCAGAAGACATGGAGAGTTTGGAGTGTTTGGAGTGTTTGGAGTGTTTGGAGTGTTTGGAGTGTTTGGAGTGTTTGGAGTGTTTGGAGTGTTTGGAGTGTTTGGAGTGTTTGGAGTGTTTTTTTTTTTCTTTCAAGGTCTGAGATGAACAATTACTGGAACTGACATGGAATGTCGCATGACTTACTGAGCTAAGGGGATGAAGGCTGACGATGTTGAACATATATTATAGTAATAATAGTTTATAGTTTATTATATATTATAGTAATAGAGTTGATGTTCGCGGGCATAAATGTGTTTTTGGCCCTCCTCGCGGAACACATTTTAACCCTCGCTACGCTCGGGCTAAAATGAGTTCGAAGTCGGGCCAAAAACACATTTATGACCGCGAACATCAACTCTATTTATATTATTATCATTATAACATACACATGAGTATATACAAAATTAGTAAAATACAATAATTAGTAAATACAATAATTAGTAAATACAAAATTAGTAAAATACAATAATTAGTAAATAGATTTGAATAAATATAGTTCACCTGGTGCAAGGCACTTTTTAATGATAACTCCAAGCTTATACTTTCTGGATAATTTAATACATTCTATAGGGTTTAATGATCAATATAGGGATAAGTATCATAAATTGTTTGGCTGTTGGGGTTTATAAACTATCAAAACTACAAAATTACATCCTGTCAAAATTTTGAATTTCTAAATAATGCCGGGTTTATGGTCATTTGAATTTGCTTGCTACTTTTATAATATGCAAAAAAGTAGACGGTAGACACTGATTTTAATTTCAAATTTATAATATTTCGAAAATATATTATGCATTATTATATATAACATACCTTGAATAAATTTGAAGTTTTACATGATTCAAGAACATTTTCATTTGTATACCGAACTGTTTCGCCTTTGGATTTGATTCCGTTCATTAGTCAAAGTACACTTCAAGATGTCGGGCTTCCCTTCAAAATTGTCGAGGCCAGGGATATGACGGTGCTAGTGCTGTGTCCAGCCAGGTAAAAGGTATTTCTGGGAGAATATTAGAGAAAAACCCGAAGGCGTTGCATGTTCATTACTCCAGTCATCGTTTAAACCTTATTGTTGCCAAAGCGTGTTCAATTCTTCCAGTGAAAAATATGTTGAGTCAGGCACAAAATATCGCCAGCTTTTTTATCAGTTTCCCTATCCGCTCACAGTATCTAAGTAAAAAGATGAAAGAGTTTGGTTTAACCCGTAACAAGCTCGCAAAGCCTTCCACGACACGATGGGTAGAACGAATAAGATCCCGCGATGGTTGTTTGGATGCATTCAAAGTTATCTACGAAACACTCAATTTTATGCAGTTTGGAGGATCGCAGGAAGAGCCATTTCCTAGATTAGATAGTGACGCACAGTCTCATTTTCGCAACGTGGAGAAATTTGAATTTATGGCTGCTCTCATTATCACCCAACATGTTCTGGATCATACTTTGTCATTGACGGTCCAATTAAAGAAGAAAAAAAAATCGATATTGCGGAATCAATAAAACAGATTAATCTTTTAAAGGATGAAATGGCAAAACTGCGTGCCTCTGTAGATTTATTCCACAATGAATACTACGACAAGCTGTTGGAATTAGCTAATAACCTCGACGTGGCTGAGTGTTTTCCCCGGGTAGGTAAAGATCAAACAAAATGTGATAATCATCGTACCAGTACAGCAGGTGGTTACAACAGATTAACAGTAACCATTAAGAGTCGTGCATAGGCCACGTGATAACGAAACATTCTGAGCTCATCAATGAACAATTGTAAAGGTTTTATTGTAACTCATAGGAAAACCTGAGGATATATTTTGTAAAATCTATTATATTACGAGTGTCTTTTCCTAAGTCTACCGACCCCTGAATTCCCCACGCTATCGTCACCCTGTAATAAATAGTAACGTTGCAAGTCCTCACCTTCAACCACAAGGATTAAATTACGTAATTCGAAGTGCAAAATTGAGATTACCGGTTTCTGAGTTTACCGGTTTATAATGCTCAGTATTTAATGATCCGTAAGACCAATTTATCATTATTATTACTTGACTTACGGATTCATTAAGTTTATCCTCGTTTTAACTCAAAAAAGTTTTCAAAGGACTTGCATCCAGAAGGGATTTACCAGGAACAGGCTAAAATTAAACAGATGTTGAGATTAATGCACGATGATGATTCGTGATCTTAAAATTGCTACCTTTTGAAACTCTTCACGAGTTAATAAGCCTTGACTGTTTCCTGTGAAAGAAAAATAGGTAAATATAGTCATATTATAATATATATTTCCTCCATATTGCAAAGGTAATTTCGCTTGCCTTCAGTTTCTTCCTTGTGTAAAACAGTGTCTTTGGAATCTGGTACGACATCAATCTGAAACGATTGTAAAATGAAAAACCTAGTCTAAATCAAAGATCTCTTTCTTTTCTGCTTCCCCTGCCAGTCATGTTAGTAGCAATGTAAGGATGGATAGTGAATGTTCTTGCACGAAATAAATTTCATGCAAGCGAGTTTGAAGAGAAATTCTTACCATAAAAGCGCTTGGTCCATATCTCGGATTACGACTCAAATATCGAGTTCGTTGAACAAATGCCGAACCAAGATTCAACTTTTGACCGGAATCTTGTAATAAAATCGACCAGGGTGAAGATCTGCCGTGTTCTGTAAGCAGCATCTTTTGTTCTGCGCTGTCTAAAATGCAGGCAAATAATTTTTTCATTTCGTAAATGCGCGAACAATGGCCGATCTGTTTTAACATTACAAACCTGACTCCTTGAGTTCGGTTTTCTTCATTTCAACATCATCCCGGGTATCTTCAATATTAGTTTCCTCATCTTCTCTACACGATGCGAGGCGATCTTTGACAAGATCTACAATCAATGTACGCTGTCTGTGCTCTTGCTAAGAAGTTCTGTTGTAGTTTCAAGGCGTTGTCTGGCTCCTTCTTTATTGAGTTCGGCCGATAAATCATCTGAAATACAACAATATCAATTTGACATTCCGCCAACGGAATGCCCAACCGAAACATTGAACAGGTTTGACCCATCGTTGACAAGTTGTGGGCGAAAACATTCAGAGCACAATTTGACTGAGAAAATAAATGGGCTTACCAAAGAGTTGTTTTGGAATTAAACTTTCATAAATCTCAGTCTTTCCCACCGCTGGTCGTCACAAGATGTTTGAGTCACAAGATTTCTGTACTGAGCATACGGTACCAGTGGCCTTTAAATCGTTGGTAAGAAGGTCAGATGCTTTGGTATCGAATTTTGTGTTTGGCACCTGGCTAGAATCATCTGCACGAGTTTTGCTATCAGTTGAAGAAGCCTGGAAATGACAAATACGTTCCTAAGAGCTTTCACTAGAAGAATATTAAAACTTGGTCGCTCTTGCAAATATATCTATTGAAAATTCAGCAAGCAATCCCCGTGGCAATAGAATGACATGTGGACTTACTTTCGTAATAAATGGCACGAATTGTTTTCTTAACAATAGCGGACAGTTGACAAACCAGGATGAAATGACATTATCAGCAAGAGCTACGGTGTATTGAGAGTATCTAAGGTGAAACATATCAGTTCGTTTATATTTTAATCATTTTGACAAAACCAATAATAAAAAGTTTCAGATGTTATCGCGTTGAGCCAACTTCGATGATTCTGTGTAAGGCAAACATATTCCAAAGACTTGTTTCAACTGGATCGCTGTGAAGTTTTTGTACAAAGCACAAAGCTGTTACAATGCGATTTAAACGATTTAAAAGAATGCTACCAACTTTTCGCCGAATACGATTGTGTGTTTACACAACCTAGCTCTCTTTGGGGGTACATTGATATTTTGTAACAGATTTCATAATTTACGTAACTTCAAGAAACATACCAGAGGGAAATTCTAGCAGTGGTATGGCAACTTGAGACTTTGGCGAAAGTTTAGTAAACTTTTCCAGATATTGTGGGAGCAATCTAAGGACAGAAAATTTAGTAATTATTACTTAAAAAATCATATATTTGTGAAGGAGTATCTCGCATCACAAGAGACGTTACGTTTAGGCTGGAGTTTATTGAAAAACGTTTCTGTAAATTCACTGAGCACATTATCAAGGCACGATTTCAAATATCTCCAAAGAAATAAACTTCTAAAACGCTGCAACTACTTAAATCAACTTCATTCTTACAAAGTGCTAATGGACATAAAAAACCGTCTCAAATTCCAGACTATTTTAAGTAGCCATACCTTGCCATAACTGAAGGCATTTCTAACATACATATGGTGAGACAAGATACGCTTAACGTCGCGAAATGAGCAACCAAATACGCATTAGACAACACTAGACGAAATATACAACAACGTTTAAGCAAGAACAGACAACTGCTGAAAATAAAGTCACGCAGATTCTTACCTGTTCATCTTGACCAATAAAAATGTGGTACGTACACAGCTCCGTTAATACCTGCACGTGTTACAATAAAATATCCAATTAAATCATTAGTATGGTATGATATAATTATGGTATAAATTGGTTATGGTATGGTGTGATATAATTATGGTATGATATGCATAGTTATGGTATGGTATGATTTCGTTATGGTATGGTATGGTGTGATATTATTATGGTAAGATATGGTTATCGTATGGTATGATTTAGTTATGGTTAGTTATGGTATGATATGATTATATGATATGATTATATGATATGATTATATGATATGATTATATGATATGATATGGTATGGTTATGGTATGGTATGGTTTTGGTATATTTATGGTAAGATATTATGATATATGCAAAAAACTGATTGATAAGAACCGTACTGGAAAAATTCTAGCGTACAAATTAGGTCGGCGCATATCATTAGGAACACGAAATATTCCAGGAAGAAAATCGTAATTTGAAACCTGAATGCAAAGTAAAATTTTTAGTTCAGGATTTTGGTGTGAAAGTACACAACTTCACTTCCCTTCCCATTTTAGAGAAGACTGTAGATATTGAACGTAAATATTGCTTTAAAGAAAGTATCAAGTTTTTATCTTGCAGTGCCTCTGGAAAGTTCCTCAGAACAACATCCAACACCTCCCATTCCAATTCCTAGAAAATGAAGAAAGTTGAACTTCAATCGAAACTTAATGCCAGATGATATATTATGATAGAAAAGTTTACCTGTTGTAAGCACACAAGAATAACATTCATCGCCTCGCTGTAAGGCAGTGAAACAATCCCGTTTGTCTTATCTTCTGCAGAACTAAAACAAAAATGAGAATGTATTACGCAAACAAGAAAAGGAATTTTGGAAGCAGAATACCTGACATACGTGGCACTATCGTCATTAACCAACCTTTTCTTTCAGAACAAACAAAAATACGAAGTGAATTAAACTTTTCTACTTTTGTCTTGCACAAGGCCTAGACGTTGTCAGCTCGCAGACTGAGGAAACATTGAAGAATCTTTAAGAAAACACAATGTGAGACATCATAAAAAATCGCGAGAAATAAAATTGAATTTGCCTTACCGAAAGCCGTATTTCCGATGCATTATACGTCCGATAGCCATTGTCATAATGAGTTTTTATGTGGTACACTAATATATTGAATATTCGTTCGGCTCGTTCTTGAGGTTTACGAAACAATTTCATCTGCAAAAATAGAATGAAATTACTGAAAGAGAAGCAAGTGTGGCATTAAATTACACTTATTTTTGTTCACGAAAATAACTTCATCACAATGAACGAATATGTGTGGACAATCTCTGCATGTCCTTCATTACCTTGAACAAGCGTACTAATCCTAATACAGCCTCCTTGATGTCTTTCTATGCTGTTTCATCCTGAGGCTGCAGCAACAAAGACAAATTACAGTGATTAGATGTAATTTTATGTCTCTAGATGTTCCTACATATACCTTGCAGTCTCTATAATTACCTTACATGTTCTTTACATGACGGCTTAACGTATCGCTTGAGAGGATCAACTGGACAGTGGCAATCTGGAATTGATAAATGAAATATATATCCTTTTACTTCACTGATGCGTTTGCATTCACGACCCCCGTGTAAAACGATCCAATTTGCGGATATATAGTTAGGTTCAGGTCAGGAAGCTTTCACTGATAAGAAAGAGTTTTCTATTGAAGTACAGTATCAGCTCATCACGAATGAAGAGGGAAATTGGAGTGGAGAAATGAAACCGTCTGAAAATGATTGTATTGAGTACCTTCTCGATTATATGCAAAACATCGCAAACTTTCGGTGAATCAGAGGATTCAATAACATCGACCAGAAGCTGGACAGCTCGGATCCGCACAGAAATATCCCGATCTTTGACAATGTGGTCTAAATGTGGCAACACTGAATTCTCAAGTATTTCTTCCTGTAAAAAACAAGGAGTTATAAAACTAGAAAAAGATTCATAATATCGCTAATGTCTAGAAAAATGGACTAAAATTTATTCAAAGTACTAAAATTTTATACCTCATATAGTGGAGATAACGTTCCTAATATGTTACAAAGCACATTTAGAGCTTTAATTCGGTTGGCCGTCCTCTCTTCACATCTAAAAAAAATTCCCATTAGGATAAGACTGAGGCTACATAGAAATACACCACGAACTTAAAAAAATCAACATACCAAAATATTACATTTTTACATAACAAAATATAAAGAAAAAAGAAGACCACACACTTGAAGTATTTCTCCACCAAATCTTTAATATTTTCAAACCAGTTTTCGCAGTAAGGATGAAGAGACTGGGAACGATGAAAACCAGGAGAATAACTGAGGATTACTGCAAACAACGACATTTCATTTAGCTGCAAACAACGACATTTTATTTAGCTAAGTGGATTCCGTTAGATTTCATATATTTTATTAATTTTGTCCTCAAAGAAAGTCATAAAATTGTTAGCTAGATTCTCATCAGATTGGCACACAGATATTGAGAATCAGGGGTATAATGTAGTAACTTTCCAACGGTTTTAAATAATTTCTTTTGGTCACTCCCATTATCTCTAACAATTTCAGAATAATAACGAGTACGACTTTCCTATAATAGCTCACTGACACGGCGACATTGCTGACTGTATTTTAGACGATCACAGGATTGTCTTGACTTACGCCATACCCGCTCGAGTTTCCTTCTGATACGTTTTTCGTTTTTAATTTGTTCAGTGTACCAAGGTGCAGCTGGACGAATAATTATCTCTCTGGAAATAAGTGGTACATGATGATCCAGAATTTTGGGCAGCTCCGAGTTGTACTGGTTGACTTTCGCACTTATATCAGCCGTGTTCCCAGTGTTAATCGGAGATAGCCTAATTTCATTAAGGAACGAGTCCATATTGATTGCTTTAATTTTACGTGACTCCACGACCCTTCTCTGAAACAATGGTTTTTTAAAATTGAGTTCATATGTAACCGTGTAATGGTCAGATATAGATGGATCATGAACGTCAATAGATTGAACAATATTTTCCTCATGGCGAGACAAGATAAGGTCTAACGTGTGACCAGCAAAGTGTGTTGGTTGTTGTACACGTTGTTCCAGATTAAAAGAATCAACAAGATTGAGAATTTTTTTGTTGTTAATTCCGACTTATCGTCTACATGGAGGTCGATATAATACGATTATATTTAGAATTTGAGATGACACATTGATTTGCATACCCATCACTTCGAAAGACTTAATGTGTGAGAACATTTTCGCCGAGTCCAGCTTCACTTTTAAAGTGTTGTTGTATAGTATACCAATGCCTCCCCCTCTACCTTGTTGTCTCGAGATATTGTTAAAGGAGTAGCCCTTCGGGGTGAAATTCCCAAAAGATATATGATCAAATTTGTCAGGGTGAAGCCAGGTTTCTGTAATCGCAAATATATCAAATTCATTCTCAACCACATAGTCTTTGACTAAATTCGCTTTGTTCCGAATAGACCGCAGTTGAGAAGACCAAAAGAACAAAGCTGAGTAACAGCTGTATCAGGAGTGTTGGCAATGCCTGATAAAGGAATATTGATGAGATTGATTCTCTTAATATAATTTCTGCCATATATATTTACAGGCTTTGGGACACGGTCCGTGATTCTAACAGGGATAGCTTCCTGATGATTTGCAGGATGATAGTGATTGTATAGTGTGGCGGTGGTGTTTGCGAAGTAGGTATTATAGCAAATATTCCTATAGGTCATATGGAACAACCAACCTTTCTGTAGATTCAACTGCCCAAGCATTGAACTAAGCTCCTCAGGATTATTAGCGGGTCGAAACGTGTTCATCAAACGTAACTGCTTTCGATGTTGATACATCTCATCCGACTGATTATTATCAAAAGATTGAGGACCAGGATTAGACGAAACATCCACACACATTGTTAGATCCTGCTTGAAGGCTTCGTACACAGGACTAGACTAACAAATCCATGTTTCGTTTCTTTAGCAATCGCAAATGAGACTTTGTATTTAGATTCAAAACCAACTCGTTGTATG